TGGGTTGTCTTATCAGGCTGTCTCATCAGGGCTTGACACCCGGAGGAAGCTGCTAACTGAAATGTTGGTGGCTTGGGTTTGCTTCGGCCTAACAACTATGTTACCAGACCTCCTTAGTTTGCCCATAGAATCCTTTAATATTGCAACTCCAGGCTTGAATGTTTTTGTCAATTTCTCAGTTAAGAAATGCTGACTGTGTTCTTCCCTTTTGACTTTCTAACTCCAGATCTTTACATACTTCATTATAATATTTTAGTTTGTCTTTTTGAACTGCCGTTTGAAATCTTCTTTTCAGCTCTTTTACTTATTCATTTCTTCCAGTTGCTTTAGCTACTCTCCATTCAAGAGCAATTTTCAGTCTCTTCTGACATGCATTTTTTTTTCTTCCTTTCCTGTCTTTTCAATGACCATTTGATTTCTTCATGTACGATATCCTTGATGTCATACCACAACTCCTCTGATCTTCAGTCACTAGTGTTCTCTGTGTCATATACATTCTTCAGATGCTCTCTAAATTCAAGTAGGATATACTCAAGGTCATATTTTGCCTTTTGTGAACTTGTTCTCATTTTCTTCAGCTTCAACTTGGACTTGCATGTGAACAATTGATGGTTTATTCCACAGTCAGCCCCTGGCCTTTTTCTGACTGATGATATTAAGCTTCTCCATCATCTTTTTCCACAGATGTAGTTGATTTGATTCCTGTGTTTTCCATCTGGTGAGGTCTACATGTATAGTCACTGTTTATGTTGTTGAAAAAGAGATATTTGCAATGAGTAAGTCATTGGTCAGGAGCTCTGGTAGCATAGTGCCTAAGGCACTTGACTGCTAACCAGGAGGCTGGCGGTTCAAACCCACCAGCCACTCCTCGGAAGGAAGGTTGGGCAATCCTACTTCCATAGTGATAACTGCCTCGGAAACCCAAGGAGGGGTCACTAGGAGTCGGGGCCAACTCATGGCAAATAACAACAACAACAACAAGTCATTGGTCAGGTAAAATACAATCTCCAGCATCATTTCTATCACCAAAGCCATATTTTCCAACCACTGGTGATTCTTCTTTGTTTCTGAGTTTTGCATTCCAATCACCAGTAATTATCAGTACATCTTGATTGTGCATTTGTTCT